GGTCCCCTCGTAAACAAAAAATAGTTGCCTGATCAACATCCTGTAGTTACCACCTCTTCTAATGGAAATTCAAATTCCACAACCTCACCACTCATCCTATGGCGTGATAATGTTGGCAACACATGTCTTTCGGCAAACCCAATCTTCCACAACCGCATGAAACACATTGATATTGCTTTCCATTTTGTCCATGATAATGTGGCACAACCTACGGGTCTAATATCTGTCCTTGGACATTCTCAACACGTCGCTTTCGACACCACACTTCCAACTCTTTCGTGACAAGCTCACTGTTCTTAACAGAATACTTATTTGGCTAATCCTGTCTCATTTGGCTGATCATGTTGATCTTTGGCTTTAGCAAATCATGTTGATCTTATTTGTCGCTATCCTATCACATCTCTTGTATTCAAATCAAAGCATCACAATGGTCTATATAAGATCAGTGAATGTATCAATCATTAAGCGGTTGGAAAATACAAAGAGACTTTCTAATAAAAAATTTCTTCAACCTAATCGACAAATAGTATTTTTCCTAGCAGTAGCTTATGCTGCACTTTGAAGAAACAATAACAAATAGAAGAAGTTCAAGAGGATGGGGCCAATAAGTCGTTGGCAAGTGTTCTTATGAGTCCAACCCATAATTGAAAGCATGTAGACATTGCTCTTGTAAATATGTAGAAATTTCATCAAATTTCCTTTTGAATAGAAGTTGAAGATGAAAAACATTGGGCGAAGTGCATTAACTACAATTATTTCCAAGGTAACCATTAAAGAAAAAGCCCTAGTAATTCTTAATTTTAAACAGAGGGAATTTTCTGCAATAACTACTGCTCCTTTTAGTTATGAGATACATTGTTTGTCTACATGAGATGAGGCCTTTTGGTTGCATTACTGAAATTCCACACGTTATCTTCATGCAATGAAATTGCTGCCCCATACTGTCTCTTTTCTCTTTTCTCTTTTCCTTTTTTCTTTCATAATTAGGTAGTGAATCTCAATGACAATTCTTGTTTACTTGGTGAAAACCAGTGCAAAGTTGAACCCATGCTAACAGATTAGTAGGTCAAAAGACTCAAGTGTTTCTTTATTTTCATGGGATAATTGCAAAAAACTCCCTCAACTTTAAACTTTTGTAGTAAAACACCCTTAACTTGAAAAAAATGAGTGATGTCTGCTTTAGAATCTATCAAAATACCAAAATACCCTTATTTAATCACTCAATTTTCACTTTTGTACCCTCTATATACCTTTTGTTTCACACAACTAGGAAACCTTATTCCACAATATTCATATATACCCAATTCCATATTTTACCTTTATGTAGACACCTAAATACAAAGAGATGATTTAGTTGTTGGTTGTGGTGCTTGGCAGAGAGATAGAGAGGTGGTTTTGTTTGAATCGCAGGGAAGAGAGAGAGAGGAATGAATGAGGATATTTTTGGACTTCTGCGTAGAAAATTTTGCAAATTTGGTGACCCACACATTTCAGGCGTTTGAGTCAATGAGCACTAGATAAGTGACCTTGTTGTTTTTTATAGAAAAGAATCATAGTTGAGGATGGTTTAGTACGAAAATTTAAAGTTGAAAGAGGTTCTATTCATCTGCTCATGAGTACAGGGAGGTTTTTTGAAATTATTGCTATTTTCTTTTATATTCTTTTGAAGTTTGAACTTCGGTCAATTAATTCCTATTTTCCTAGATATTGATGAACTGCCATAATCCACGAAGTTTTTTGCCTCTGCATATATATATATATATATATATATATATAAACTCAACTAAGCTATATCCCAATATTTTTGGGGTTAGTTACATATTTTTTTTCATTATTGCGCTCTATCAAGAGTCATACTTTCTATTAGACCATAAGTTATTGTACATTTTCTTGTATTTCGTTTAAATTTAGTTTTAGTCTTTCTATACCCCTTCGATTGCCATTAATAAATGTCACATCATTCTTTCTCATGGTCTGGTGATGGACCGTCTATAAACATTTAAGTTGATTCTTTCTTAATTTATTTCCTATATGCACCACCTCTATTTTTTCTCGGATGACCTAGTTCTTAATTGGGTAATTATTATTGACTTCCCCTCTAAATAGATATATCTTCAATGAAACCCCTTTTATTATCTGAAATATCACTGACATCCCCTATCAAATGAATGGCGCTAACTAGAATACAATTTTACTAAATTTTTCATGATATATTTTAGAAACAATTTCATCCACACCCTCTCTAGATAGACATATGATATATCTTTAATTAGACCTCTCTTTTTTGAATTTTTTTATGTAATGAAATTTGAGCTGATTAAAATTGAATTTGAGCTAATTAAAATTTATTTTTTATGTATTAAAATTCAAGTTGATTAAAAATTATATTTTTTTTACGTATTAAAATTTGAAACTAAATTTCAATTCGATCCGATTAAAATTCGTTTTTAATCGGCTCGAATTGAATTTTGACCGGCTTGAATTTGAATAAATAAAAAATATAAATTTTAATCAACTCAAATTTTAATACGCAAGAAAAGAATTTTAATCATCTTGAATCGAATTTTAATTAGTCCGAATTTTAATACGTAAAAAATAAAAATTTTAATCCACTTGAATTGAATTTTAATCGGCACTAGTAGCTAAGATTGAGCTCAAATGAACTTGAATTTTAATGCGTAAAAAAATAAATTTTAATAAGCTCAAATTTTAATACATAAAAAAATAATATTTAATTTGCTCGAATTAAATTTTAATCAGTTTAAATTTTAATATGTAAAATACGAATTTTAATCGGCTTGAATTTTAATATGTAGAAAAATGAATTTTAATTGACTCGAATTGTAATTGGTTCGAAATTTAAACAAATTTTATGTAGAAAGATTATTTGTGGTCATAATTGTCAAATCGCGTATCGGAAGGCGTATCATTTTTCAAAAATAGTATATCATATCGTGGATCATAAGATCCTCACAATTTTAATTTTTAAATAATTATTATATATATATATACCTTTGAAAAAACAAGTCAGAGACTCACAATAACATAATATTTCATTAATATTCCACCAACTATTCAAGTTCTCAACATAATTCAGTAATATGAAAATTTAAAGACCTCTAATTCAAACTTTTAACATCAACTACTTGAACAACCTTAATATTAATCAGGAATTTTGAATTCAATTGAACAATATTAATAGCAGACTTTATTTTTTTTTAAACCATAACCACTGAAACGACGTTTCACTGGTTAATGATTTAAAAATAAGTCCTGGGGTAAAACAATGTCATTTCAGCCCTAAAATACAAAAAAAAAAATAGAATCGTTATGTATCATACGTATCAGACGTATCGTATCATGTATCGTACTGTCGTATGCTACAGTGAAAAAATGATACACGATACGTATCGTTTTTCAAGTGTATCGAGATGTATCATAAGAAACGTATCTCGTGTCGTACGATACTAATAACTATGTTTGCGGTTTATATAGGGACAATTTTGATATCTTAGATGAATTTTTTTGTTAGAAACGGTGGTTTAATAGTAGGGGTATTAGTGATGTTTAAATATAAACTAGAAAGGGGTGTTAGTGATATTTTGGGTAGTGGAGGAGGTTTCATTGAAGATATGTCTAATATAAACTAGAAGGGGGTGTAGTAGTATTTTGGATAATAGAGGGGGTTTCATTAAAGATATGTCTATTTAGAGGGGGTGTGGATGATAATTACTCGTTATTCTACCTAATGAGCTATGAGGTTGCCTAGGGCCTCTAAATGAATAAAAAAATTTGGGGCCCCCCAAAATTTTTTTTAGGATTACTTCAAATTTTTTAGTGCCTCCGTTTTCACTAGGTTAAGGCAGTTTTAGGCATAATTTGCGAATCCAAAAGGAAATTGACACGGAATTAACAAGTTTGAGTGTAGCCTTAATAGATTTGGGTAATATACGAGTGAACGTGTTATACCCCTCAAGTAAACGAGTTAATACGAATCTGACAAAGCACAACACAACCTCACTAAACACGACTTATATACAGTGTAAACCTAACCATACAAGATTATAAATGGGACAAGTATGTGATGTGAAAATCATGACACAAGACGACTAAATGCCAGTCTGTATATCACCTTAGATTTTTTGAGTCATACCTATTTTTTTTATGAATAGTGAAACAATGAGTTATCTCCTCACGGACTAATTAATTATGTATTACCAGTTTTCATAATTTATAGTTTTTTCTTAGCTTAAATTTGAGGCTCTTTTAAATTTGGGTTTAATTTTTTCCTTAATTATTTTTTATAACACAAGAAACACACAAAATGACTAGAAATTATTCTCAATCTTCTTTCACTATATTTTCAATGGATAGTAGACTTAATTTTATTTTGATTTGTGAATTCAATTTCAATTAATGAACTTTTTATATGCAAAGCATGAATGCAAGTTTTTGCATCTCAAAAACTGATTTGGTATTTTTGCATCTCAAAAACAAGAAAAATAAAATTTAAGTAAATATATGTTGATTTTTATTCGTATCTTTATTATTATACTACATAGTACCACGACCCGCCTAAGGTCCCCAATTGTGTTGGACCACATATATATTGTCTCAAACGTCACAAACTTTTGAGGGCTACTCAACGGTTCTGTACTAGATTGTAGCAAACGTAGAGTTTGGTAAATGCTTAAAGCCTGCTTAAAAGGGTTTTTGACTAGAATGCTTGGTTTTTGACTAGAATGCTTTGGGACACTGAAACAAAAACAAAACATAAATACAGCAGGCTGTTCAAACACCATCGCATAAAGCTAAAATGTGATGAGATTTTTTTCCAAAGCTCCCAATGTTATGTAATTTATATCTTCTACTTGAAGAGGACATAGACACTTGGTATTGGTTCTTATTGTTAATATGAAATTGCGTCTTCTAAATAATACTTACCCATAAGGATAAGAAAAAAATTATGATTTATCAGGTCCTTCATGTGATAACCTTGTAGGTAATGTGATTACTGTGAGCAGAAAAGCTCACCTTTTGAAACTTATGTTTTCACATGGGGCCCTCTTGGTGATTGCTTATGTGTTTCCCTGAAGGTAAAGAACATTTGGTTCAATCGAGGAGGCCTGACACCCTTGTGCCTTGACCATGTACTGGTGAGCTTCTTGTTATTTAAATAGCATGTATTGTAATGAACTTGCTTAAATCCTAAATATGAAATGCTTCTTCATGATAGAGAATAAGTTGTATTGAGATTGAGATTTTTTTCAATGTTACACAAGTTTTTGTCAAGGTGATCTTGGGCATAAATCGGCTTCTTGTAAGTGTTTGAATGCTAATTTTAGTAGATCTCATACGAGCCTAAGTAGCTTAATTCATCTCGCATTTATCAATGAGTAGAGAAAATTTGAACTTGTTAAAGTGCCCTACCCAAGAATGATTTTCTAGCTTTGCCCCTAGTGCAAGAAGTATTTGAAAAGATGTAATGTTTGAAGTGTTGAACAAATTCAAGTTTGAAGAGGTGTGAGATTTGAACTATCATTCACTTTTTACGCTTTTTTCAGTTGTTGGGATTTTAATTTGTAAAGGTATTGTTGTCTTTTTGCATTTCATGACCTTCCAATTATTAAACATTACATTTTTGGCTGGTTTTTTTCTCTTATTTACAAATTTTTTATTGTTCTGCTCAGCATATGCACAAATTTTTGATTGTTCTCTTATTTAGTAGTGGCATTTTTGTAAAGGACAAATATAAAATAGAGCATGTATAAACACTCAAAAATCTCTAGAGATAAACTCTAAGTTATATTTAAGAACCATGGCCATTGCTTTTACTTGTCTTTTTGTGCTTCTTTTTTTTTTTCTCTTTATTGGTTGTTCATCTCCTGCAATGATTGATTGGGGTTGAGGTGTTTTCTTTCTTTTTCTCTAGGTTTTGCTTGTCTCTAGCCATAATATCAATGAGAAAGCGACACAAAAAATAAGAATGCTTAATTTTTTGATGGTTTTTTGATTGGTTATTCATAATCTACTTTGTTACGAGATGGGTCTTTAACTTGTAGTTGTCAAATCACGTATTGGAAGGTGTATCGTTTTTAAAAAGTAGTGTATCATATCGTATTGTATTGTGGATCGTGTATCATAAGATACGTGTAATTTTAATTTTTAAATAATTATTAATATATATATATATATATATATATATATATATATATATATATATACCTTTGTAAAAAAATCACATACTCATAATAACATAACATTTCATTAATATTCCACCAATTATTCAAATTCCCAACATAGTTCAATAATATCAAAATAAAAAGATCTCTAATTCAAACTTCTAATATCAACTGCTTGAACAACCTTCATATTAATTAGGAATTTTGAATTAAATTGAACAACATTAACAACGGACTTTATTTTTTTTTTTAAACCATAACCACTGAAACGACGTTTTTTTCACTGCTTAGTGATTTCAAAATAAGTGGTAGGATAAAACAATGTCATTTCAGCCCAAAAAACCAAAAAAAAAAAAAAAAAAAAACAAAATCGTCACGTTGTATATATCGGACGTATCGTATGTACCGTATCGTGTATCGTACGATACGGTGCAAAAACGATACAGAATCACGATACGTATCGTTTTTCAAGTATATCGTGACGTATCGTATAATACGTATCGCGTATTGTATGATCCTAATAACTATGCTTTGACTCTAAATTGGACATTTAACTATTAATGATACAGAGTCATGATACGTATCGTTTTTCAAGTATATCGTGACGTATCGTACAATACGTATCGCATATTGTACGATCTTAATAGCTATGCTTTGACTCTAAATTGGACATTTAACTATTTTTTTATTTCATAACTTTTTTTCTTTCATTTTTTATGTGTTGGAGTCTCTTTCAATAGGCATAAAAATTTGTTCCAAGTGTCATTAATGTCACGATATAGGTTGTTGTCGTAGTTGCTTTTACTTTTCCCATTAATTTAGTGTTCATTGTTCCTTAGTACAAGATCGAATAGAATGCTTTGCATTCCAAGTGAGGCCAAACTGGGGAGAATGGATGAGGAAAGATAGAGAATGGTGTTATTTGACTCAAAAAGTTGTATTCTCTTAGGATCGATTCTAAATTTTTGTTGTAACTTGACCCACAAAAGTTTTATATACCTATAACATAGTCTTATCTAGTTCGGTTGAGTATATATTACCAAAAGGGTTTTTTGGTACCATACTACAAAATGTAACTTTTGGCCGAGAAGTTTGAATGGAGAAGCTTGACCAGAAGTCTAGTATAGCATATGGAACAGAAAGGGTCAGACACATAATGGTTGATTGACAACAATTACTTGTCCTGAGTAGGTAAGGTTTTCATATGCATGCATTTCATAGTCCCTGCTCAGCGAATTAATGCATAGTAGGAAACAAACACAAAATCAGTTTGTATGTCTGCTAGTCCATGGAATAGATGAAAAACATGCATTTGAAGTTTAAATTGTGGTTGACCTACCAAAAATAACTTACATTTGTATTAAGTACTCCTGGATGTGGAATGTAGACTATTTTTCTGTGAAGCACTCCCACATAACCAGTATTGTTTCTATTTTCACATGCTATCATTGTATTGTTGGTGTGCAGTACGTGCTAATGTCGTTTTATATACATGCATTCATATATGCATAGCTCACCACAACTGCCATCGCCATCCATGCCTTTTTGGAGCTCTGGAGTCTGCTTCTCTGAACAAATTATTTTGATCCCCTCCTCCCCCCCCACCCCCTTTTTACAAAAAAAAAAAAAAAACCCCACACTCAGAAAAGAAACAAACTGAGCCTTTTAAATTTCTCACAATGCTTCTGTTTTACTCGGTACCATAATTATAAATGGTTGTTCAACAAACTGAACGCATATGACTCATACACATATTCCATTTTTTCCCATTGTGTTGGGAACCGGAGTTTGTTGCTCCATGTGCATATCTCCATTTTTGAGAGAAGATGTAGACCTAGCTCTCTCTCTCTCCAGTTCAATTATTTACTCCAATTTTAATATTGTCTTCCTTCCATTTTTAGCTTGAGATGTATGATGCTGGTGACATTTTGCGTTGTGATGATCTTGTGGATACAACAAGTGGAAGACTCTCCCAGATTTTCAGAAGAATAGTTCATCTGACGGGTTTATCTTGGTCCTCAACTCCAGTTGATTTTACTGAAGATCATCTCATTCTTTGGCCACTATTGAAAGTAAATGTTTTGCTATTGCTGTTGTTCTATGTCTTAATTACGGGAGCTTATGTTATCATGCTTGTATTTACACGTTTACTTTTCCAAAAGAAGAGCACCAAACCATATTTGTAGAAACTGATAAAAAAAGATTTGCAAAATACATTTGTGAAGTTCAAGTCTATGCGTGATTGTTCTTAACACCTAGGAAGCACGACCACTTTATGTTGGCCGGATTGTTGGTGTCGAACATGTCTTGGACACGCTCGGGCAAGTGATGGACAACCAAAATGAGTGTTTGGTTTTTTTATTATTATATTTCCGGACATGTTAGGGACACATGATCGATATGTGAGCGACACGCTAGGGACACGTTGAGCAACACGCTGGGGGAACACATGTTGATCTTTTTTTCAAATCTTTAAACTTGTCGAGTAATATGAATAAGGAACTTATTTGCCTAATTTCAAAGAGATATGGGTCAAGATTGAAATATTAAAAGAGTTATGATTAGTACATGGACATAGGACACTAGTATTAACTATAAACATATTTTTAATCCTTCAATGAAATTATATACAAATGGAAAACACGTTTTATATGAACGTAATTTGATGAAAAATAGGGTTATGTAATTGGGGCTCTTTGAAATTAATTATTTTAGGATTGGGAAAGGGATATTTTTTTCAAATTGAAATTGTAGTAGTCATTTATTATATGATTATGAATGTTTATGATGAATGTGTATCGGTATATCTGATGTTATATTTTTGATGTGATGATTTTGTGATGTAAATTGTTAGAATTGTGGAAAGGGATGAATTGAATGATTCTTATGAATATATAAGAATATAAATACAGAATTTCAACAACTCTTCCAACGTGTTGGTGTCCTAATATTTTTGAAAAAATTTGTATCGGCGTGTCAGTGTTATGTTATATCCGTGTCTCGTGTCCGTACTTCTTAGCTTACGACATATGTTTGACCTACCATATTAATCATTCAAAGAGTGTGCAGAGATTCTATCTTCTTCTTCTTCTTTTTTCTAATATTTGGACTTATTTAGTTTGGAACATGGTTTGAAAGTACTGTTGGATTTTTTCCCTGCCATAGGAGAAAGCTGCTGAAGTTGTCAAAGTTTTATCTGAAAACCATTGGACTTCTTCATGCATCATTACAACTAGGAAATTTCAGGAGATATGTGGAGGATCCATGGAAGCATCTGCAGTCTTGTGTCACTTGTCAGGGTGCAGGAAAGCAAAGTACCTTGTAATCAACAAACAGGAGCTAATGGAGGTGCGGTATGTGGTTTTTTAATTTCTTGATATTATGCCATTATAATTTTGCAAAAAACTAAATTGCTAGTATTCAGGTGTGAGACTCAAGGTAAAAGTTGCTACTTTCTAATACTTGGTCATGTGGTGGATAGTAAATACCTTACAGCATACAAGCCACATATAAAATTCACTAAATTTTTGAAAAAAGGGCTAGTGAGACCTTGCAGTTAGTGAGGCCTGTTATATCTTAGTCAATTTATTTAGAAGTTTATCTGGGTGGGTAATTTGCTTTTCCTCTTATTTACAATGTTTCGAAGTCATGCCAAAAATACAGCCCAAAATATGTTCAAATAACTCCAAAGTTTTGACTTCAATCAGGCCTTCCTTGGTACTTACTTGTAGTGGTAGTTATCTTGGACAATTGGTTTTCTCTTGTAGGGCGTGAAAGTCTCTCTCTCGCCGGGCACAGTTTGTGCTACCACCAGTCTAGATTACAATATTTTGTATTTAATTTGCACTTTGGAAAAGCTTCAACAACAGCTTGACGTGATTGACGAACGTTGTGAAAAGTAAGCATATATACAGCTTTTTTTTTAGATGCTGGGATTCTTTTTAGACAGATTGCAAACCCACATCACATGTTTCATCTGAAGTATTATAGACAGCATCAGAGACTTGCAAAACCCATAGAAAAGAGCTGGCATGCTTGAAGAACCTGTTACATTACTCACCAAGACACTCTCATGTTACCTGGAGAATTCATATATCAACTCTTTTGGCATGTCTCACTTAGTGCCAGCTAAGGATCAAAATTTTATTTTGTTTGAACTGAAACAACCAAAATGCTTTAGTTTCAGCGGAAACCGAACCGAATCGTTGGTGGAGGATTTGAAATTCCCACGTTTCGGCCAATGTTTTGAAAGGATTGGGAATTGAATTTCCAGTTTTCTTCTCCGCTTTTATCCTGTTTTTGAAACATTTCAAAAATGCTTCTGTTTCCAACTAATTGAAACAAAATTTTAATCCTTGGTGCTAGCCTTTTAAGAAACTTTGGCTGACTTTGTCTGCAGGTCATAAACAAGTTTCCATTGTCCCATGGGATTACTTTCTTTGTTGTTGAGAAACATTGATTCTCTGTGCAGGTCCAGAAAATCAGGCTTAGCTTCTCTGAAATCTGGGAATAAAGTAGTTGCCTTGAGGCATGCAAGGGAATTAAAATTGGCTTCCCAAAGTAGAGAGAAATGTACAACACTTTCAAACCGAGTGGAGGAAGTTCTCAGAGTTATTGCAGATGCTGAATGTTCGAAAAAGGTTGGCCAAAGAGAACAAAAATTAACTTCAGCTGCACCTCTGTTGTGTTTTAGCTGTTTTATATGACTTGATTGAGTTGGTGGTGACTTGCGTGATCTCAAAACTTAGAGAACTTACGTCGCTTTTTCTGTTAAATTTAAGGGCTTCAACTAGTGTTTCTTGGATGCATAACATCTCACTATTGATCCATTAGCTATGACCATCTGATTGCAGGTTTCTGAAGCCATCCAAATTGGTGCAAGAGCAATAAAGGAAAATAAGATCAGCTTGGAAGAAGTTGAGCTCTGTTTACAAGAACTTGATGAAAGCCTTGATTCACAGAAGCAAGTTGAAATAGTTCTAGGTAATTTTGTTACTTTAACCTGTTCGATGTTACAGTCTAAAGAACTTTAGTTTTAGAATAAAGAATAGAATCAATGCATGATCATTGAATATTTATCACACTCAAGTTTAAGTGGTTGACACTTGACAGTGCTAAAGTGGCCATCTCTCTTGCTGATATGAGGCACATGATGGCTTTTGCCTATTCTAATAAGTGGGCTTGTTTTTCCCTAAGAGACAATTCTAGAATGAAGTGTTTTCCCTACAAGTGTAATGACACTGCACTTATTACTATAGTCAGTTAATCCCATAGCCTTGGAGTCGGTTAATCCCATGGTCTTGGAGTTGTTTAGTCCCCCAGTCTTGATACTGAAAATCTAGTTATATTTAGAGGACTCATGATTAGGGCTGTTGTTCGGCATAATCTCAGTTTGTGTAACTAGACCGTGATCATGAGTTGATAAATGATCTTCTGGGAGATTAACTTAGTGAGTCTCGTTATCTTGAACATCTGAAAGAGGAGACAGACTGACAGAGAGGGTCACTGGATTCATTGGCAGATGTGGTTAAGCATCTTGAAATGAAAATTGTGGAATTTGGAGAGAGAAATGCCCAACTATGTCTGTGTAGTGAAAATTTATTTCTAGGGAGTGAGAGACTCTAAAACCCTTTAGGCCTGGGCAAAATTTCCAAAGATAGGAGTGGCTTAGGATATACAAAGGATTCAAGTAGCATGATTACGACCTTTGTAAAATGGACTTCTAAACCTAGACCCTCAACAATAAGCAGATAAGGTTCTTCCTAGACTTGTTTGTTATTATTGCTGAAAGGATGGACATGTGAAATATGGAAACATCCATTCCAATTTCTGGTAGCTATTGTTCCTTGTAGGGTGCTTTAGCCCAGGTGGGAAGGAGATGGAAAACTGAAGAATGCTTTACTATCCAGTTGGATGGCATCTTCTCTTCTCCACTGGTTCCGTAAAATTAAAATTTCTAACATGGGTTTGTGATCCTTTCAGGGTCAACTTCATCTTATGCAGCGACTGAAGATGAAGATCTTGAAGAAGAGTTGAAAAAACTGGAGCTGGAAGTTGGCACCGACTGTGTGCAAGAGCCAGTGTCAGAAACTGGAGTGTATATTTCAGTTGGTGAAGCACGGGTTTCAGAAAATTCTGAATCACTGAGTAAAGCCTTATCTAATCTTAAGCTTACAGATAGGGCAGCCATGGAAACAGTGACCCAGGATTTTAATGACTCAACAAGAAACTACTCATCAAAAGATTTGGATCTTGAAGCTGCTTAGCCAATAGTTTGTCCGCTCAGTTATTTGTTTACATCTTGATTTGTGGTAAAAATGTCACCTCTTTCCATCAATAGTAGTTCATGCTTGATACATGGTTCTGTAAATAATCTCTACACGGATTGGGTGATACACAAGATGTGCAAGTATATGAGAACTCGAATGAATGAAACTAACATAATTGCATGCAATAACTTTGAATCGTCATTTTGAGGCCCAGATACTGGGGAGACAGAATAACTCGGTCAAATTCGTGGAAGTGAGAGTATAAATATTTTTGCTTTCTGCAAGGACTACAATCATTTGACCGATGAGTGCCAACAACTTCGCACTGAGATTGAAAGGTTAATCTGCAAAGGTCAACTTCAGGAGTCTGTTAGGCAAGAAAGCCTTAACGCCCCGGGGGGGGGGGGGGGGGGGGTGAGAGAGAGAGAGGGGGTTGACGACATTCTCAGATTGTTTTGCGGGTTCGGGATGTGATGTGATACAGGTGTGGAGTTTACGACGTCCTGAGCTATGGGATCCAATGTCAAAAGAGGTGGGAAATAAAAAATAGGTGTTTGGTTTAAATTTTGCTTGTTAAAAAAAGAAAATGAAAAAAATTCATTGTTGGTTAAATATATGTTCAAAATTTACATGGATTTTTTTTTTCGTGTTTATTAAAAAAAAATAAATAAATTGAAATCTCAAATCATTTGCGACAAGAGTTTAGGGTTAATTGATAAGAAAGTTAGGTTCTTTTGAAAGTGGTATTTGGACTTAGATTTGTTCATCTTCTTAAACTATTGCAACTATAATGTAATATTGGGTATATTCAAGATATGCACCTACTTCCTTGTTTGTGTCCATTAAAACTAAAAGATTTCAAATATATTTTTCTCTTAAAGTTGCCAATCCACTCATCGTTTGCATATAGAGGGCTTCATTTTGGCCAATCACATTTTTGTTCCAACGATTTATCACCTATAGATATTGATCCTCTATGATATGTATTGTGATCTATACACGATTTCTTTGTAAGGATATTTAAAAAAAAATAAATAAATAAAAGAAATTTGAAAATTTTCATCACTTCGCACAGGTACAAGCAATCATTCTTGGTATTATTTTATGATCTAATTTTCTGTAAACGCCAATATTTTGAGTGTCTTAAAAAGAGTAATTGAATCGTGTCTAACATTAAACACAGAATTATTTGGTGGGGCAAGAGTAGATCGTTGAGTTTATCTGTCAAAAGAGTTGGTGACTTAAGGCATGAGGCCTTTACTCTCATGAAAAAGGTTTGTTGCTCAAACTTTCAAATTTGAAGTAAGAAATTGTAAAAATTATGCGACAACCCTCAGAAAACACAAAATCATTGGACCTATATTTCTACTAGATCCCGCTCAAATACCCTTACCTTAGTTATATTGAGATTTGGAATGTTTGAAAGTATATGGTGTCTATGGTTGGTCTTGTAAGTAATTTGACCCAAAAAAAAAAAACTAAAAAAAGAATGAGAATGAGAAAAACTGATGCTTGATGTTGATGAGAAAAAAAATGCTGAAAAGAGCTATTTATATTTGACAAAAAGAAAAAGAAAAAAAAAATCAGCATGAAACAAAAAAAAAAAGTTTTGAAGCAAACAAAGTTGAGAAAAGTATATGGGTTATATGTTTTGATGTTGATATGATTAAGCAATATTGGAGGAAAGAGAATGTGGAATGTTGGAAAGAACAGGTAAAGTATCTTAGGATAATTTTTTGAATTCCTTATATCTCTTCTGATGCAGTATAGGTGGCCAGATTTTTGATATTTTATTGAATGTGGTCATGGCGTCCCATATTATGGAATTATAGATAATTTTATTTTATTTCCTAATTTAAGTAGGGAATTATGTTATTTTATTTTTTAATGTAGTTAAGATTTTTGTTTTATTTGATTTTCTAATTTATTTAGAATTCTAGTTTCCTAGTTGTTTTAGGGTTCTTACTACTATTTAAAGTCTTGTAAATTTTAGGGCAAAACAACTTTTGATTATTGAATACAATTAAGAGAGTTCTTTTTTTCTTTTTTCCCAATCTTTCTAGTATTTTTAAGAATCATCTTTGACTTTAAAGCTCCAAAGAAGAGTGAAACTGACCCACTTTTATTGACCAGTAAGTGATGGCAGTCAGGTTTGCAAAATGACCGATGGAACTAACTGAATACATTTTCATGACATGATTGAAGTTCGATCCCCCACTTTGGAGAAAGAGACGAGACGATCTACCCACCTTTACATATACGAGGAATCACTTACTACCGGACAAGAGGTTGACAATGTGAGCTTTATTTTCGACAAGGGTGTGGACCACTTAGTTATTGAAGCCTTTAGGATTGTGAATCAACAAATTTAGAGTAGAAATCTAAACCGTATTTAGTTATGAGCAAATCAATGATTTATTTTCATTACCTCTTTTGTTCATTATACCCTTGTTTTTATTCACGTCTCCCGGCATCAGTTGATATTAGAGCCCAATTATGTTACTGTCACTATGTTACCAAGAAGACGACCTATGAAGGAACTCTATTATGCCAAGATCAACGCAAGAGACGTGAGGATGCAACAAATGTTTGGGATGTTAATTTAGTAGATATCATCTTTAACTACCATTGTTCAACAACAACTACAACTGCAACAATCACAGTGGCGGCCTCAAAATCCACAATTAGTGGAGGAGGAGGAAGAGAGTCTAGTAGACTTAGATGAGATCCTAGAGAAGACCTGAGATTTTGACACACTCATAAGAGGTATGTTTTTTTATAGTGATTCATCTTCTCTGTAGTCAGAAATTGATTGGGCTATACCCCCAATATTCAATGAAGATTTGGAGGATGATTCTCTAATTCTAATAAAAGATGATGGTGAATCCCCATTGTATGATGAATATCCCGTGGATGATTATCTTAGTAGTACTTGAAATAATTGTGACACTTTAATATATGGTGAGTATTAGGAACCTGAATATTTTTTAGATTCTATGACAAAAATAGGGGCGTGGAGGATGTAGTCTTCACATATCTAACTAGGCAATTGGCATCATTCTCTAGCATGGAGAATGAAATCGGTGAAACTATATGCGAAGAAAAAGATGATTCTCTAATTCTAATAAAAGATGATGGTGAATCCCCATTGTATGATGAATATCCCGTGGATGATTATCTTAGTAGTACTTGAAATAATTGTGACACTTTAATATATGGTGAGTATTAGGAACCTGAATATTTTTTAGATTCTATGACAAAAATAGGGGCGTGGAGGATGTAGTCTTCACATATCTAACTAGGCAATTGGCATCATTCTCTAGCATGGAGAATGAAATCGGTGAAACTATATGCGAAGAAAAAGATTGTGATGTGGGTGCATTGAAGGTGATCTTAGTTCATAGCCAACTCACAGTAAAGTTGGTTAGTTGCTTTGATTTCTTTGATGTCATTATTCTTTTTTGGTGGATTCAAAATATTTGATAACTATAGATATCGGAGTGATCAAAAGTGCAAGATCAACTAAATATCAAAGTATAAAACTCTGATTCAATTGAACAATCAAAATCCTAAATTCAAGTGAAAACTCAGATTTTGAAATAAATTCGAGGGCAAATTTTTTTCAACTTAGGGAGAATGATATAGTATGGGTGGCAAGATTTTGGTATTTTAATAAACATGGTCAATGCTTTTCTATTATGGAATTCTAGACGATTTTATTTTATTTCCTAATTTAAGTAGGAAATTATGTTATTTTATTTTCTAATTTAGTTAGGATTTAGTTTTATTTGGTTTCCTAATTTATTTAATGTTATAGTTTTTTAGTTGTTTTAGGGTTTTTACTATAATTTAGGGCAAAACTGTTTTTGATCATTGAATATAATTGAGAGAATTGTCTATTTTTTTCACAATTTTTCTAATATTTTTAAGAATTAACAGAGTTATTGAAGCTTTTAAGACTAATATTCTAGGTATCAATAAATCTAGAGCAGAAATTTAAATCGATATTTATGCGTAAAGAACGGTTTATTTTCATTACCCATTTTGTTTATTATACAATTGTTTTTATTAACGCCTCCCTACATCACCTTCGTTTCTCGAGCCAGTACATTAAACCACGTTACAACCAAATGGAAGTCTTATTTGATTCCAAGAACAAAGTGGTGTAAGCGTAGAAAAACATGAGAAATGTACAATGCCTTTTTCTTTTTTAGATAAGTGGTTATTTGAAAAGAACATGCGAGTATTATTTAGCTTTGAATTTTATAAAATATCCTCACATGTATGATTCTATATGAATAATTATTATAATCTGAGAGAATTACGTGGTAAACTTTGAAATCAAGACTAACAGTTGATAGTTGTAGAAGTAGTTATTCGATAAATTGTTGACTTGGTATAGTTAATCCATAGTACACACAATTTTTTGTGGGAATATGATAGTTGAACACTTTGGTATAGCATTTAGTTTTACTTTGCATGTGCTTATGAGAAATTTTAACTAATTAATTCAAGTATGAAATAACCAGTTATTTGACTTGCAGAGGATGTACGTGACACAATGAATCAAGAATTTATACAGAGTAAAAACTTTACTAAAAGATAATAATTAAATTATAGGAATAAATCATGCATTAAAAGAACATTGTATCAAAAATAATATCATGCTTCATTAAAAGTATTTCTCCTAATTTTAGTTGGACTTTTAACAAATTATAAGAAAAATACACAAAAAACTAGAAAAGGACTGAGAAAAGAATAATCCTCTCTTAATGGGTACTAAAATAAATTCTAAGTATAGGTAGAAGATTAGGGTTGGCTGGGGAGAAATTTTTTTCCAAAAAAAATTTTTTAAGTCAAATCTCGTATATCAAATTTTGGGGCACATATACAAAATATGTCCAGACTTTGAGCTCAATTTTCACATAATTAGAGGGAGATTTATGAATTTTTCGTAAAATATATTTTGTAGCCCTTGAAATCTTTTTTTCTAACCCATAAAAATCAAGTCAATCAAACATCGAGGTAAAAAGTTGTGACCACAATACTTAAAATATGTCAAAACCTTATCTTCTAAAATACTTTCCTAATCCAACTTTAAATGAATTTTCTTCCAACTGAAGTCTTATAAGGATTAAATTATTGCATTATCTTCAAATTTTCATATTTTAATCTTGATTCGTCAATCATTATCAATTATGATTATTCCTCTGGTGTTTGTTTCACTTGTCTTATCCATTATTACTTCAAATCAACTAATTTACTAGTAAAATAAATTAAATAACTAGAAAAAGTATCAAACTAGAAAATCAAGGAATTTAACACATTTAATCACAAATAATATACAATTAATCAATATTTAAATATAATAAAATATAACTTTTAATGGTTAATCATGGGTATCATAATTGGAAACCCTCTAGAGACTACTCGTCTATTAGAGATAATTTAAGAGTTTAAAGGTTTGTTACATGTCCTAAATACAATCTTGTTACCTACAAAAATAGATTTGTGTTTTGCATATCAATCTTACTAGGGACTAGCAAAAACTAGCCGTGAAATATGCATAGATATTCTCAGTTTTTATTGGTTAATTAGATTATAACTAGTGTTAATTGTGCTTGATTGTTGTGTTTTGGGTTTTGTGTCTATTTTTGTAGTGTTTGCACGTGTTTATAGGTTAAAATATAAAAGTGATAGAGTTTGGTTACAAACGTGCAAAAATGATAATGCCTGGAGCTCTTGGAGTGATGAAAACAAATATTTCCTTAAAGTTTCATACGTTCGGACGGTCCGAACGCAAGATGTTCGGAGAATAAAGAAGACAAGAGGAAAAAAAAATTTCTTGAAAGAATGATGCGTTTGGACGAAAAAAGTCGCACGTCCGAATGCAACTAGCGAAGAGGAATGGTAATATCCATGCATCTAGATACATGTTTGTACTATCCGGATGTGAGGCCTATTTTAGTTGTCGCCGGGTCTTTGATTCCTATTAGGTTTTAGGCTTCCAAATTCACCTATACATAGTTCATTAATCCTAATTAAAAGGGTATCTTGCCTTTGGCTTCTCTTCTCCTAATTTTTACATTTGTTCTTGTTTTACGGAGTGCTAAATCCGAAATAAAGGCTAGACGTGATTATTACAACAAAGCATGATATTTAGTTTTGATTGGTGTTCTTATGTATGATTTTTCCTTTTAATTGATTTATGTTTTTTAGTAAAGTCTTTTCTTTGTAAGATCTTTTGATTCATTATGCCAAGTACATTAAATGATTTTGATTCTTTGCGAGTCAAATACCTAGATTTTTGTGTTTAGATCAATTAATTAGAATTTTTATAAAAATAATTGATTTGATTGTTTATAACTAAAATGGGTTTATACCACTGCCGCCACCATCACCATCACGATCACGATCATTGTCACCCATTACAATCATCACTGTCTTCTATCACCATAATTGCCGCCCATCACCTCTTACCCCCAATATAATCGATGCTTAAATTCATTTATCTCTCCTCTATGTTTGTGATTTAATTTTAAATATGAATACAAATATATTTATTATTTATAATTTTTTATTAATTTATACCTTCAGACACATACAATAGCTAGTTCAATAATAATGTTACTAAGTGACGAATGATGGTAGTTAAGCAACTCTTATTTACTTTAGTTTTTAAAAGAATATTCTTAAAATTTCAAAACTGGTGTGATCTATATTATTCTTATTACCTTTTGATTTTCAGGCAAAATTAAATACAAGAATGAAAATGGGGTCCAAACTGAGCATGATATTTAAGTGGATTCGCTTTGTGGCCATGGCCCATGGGCAAGGGTTGTACGTGTGTAAGCATGGCACAAGGTAGGGAACAGATTTATTGGGTGTGAGTATATACATCCAAATATCTTCTTCCCCTGAAGATAATAGACAGCTGTTCAGCGACCACAATCACCGGTAACGGTCCTCTCTATCTCTCTCCCCACACCAACCCCCCCCGGGTTGCAACCAATGACAACCCTCACAGACCTCCTTCATTTCACCTGTAATAGTGGCCACAGTCTAATTCCTGCCACGAATTACCATATCCCTGCAAGTTTCTCCATCTATAACAGCAATAAAAATTGTCCATTCTCTCCCTCGCGCAGACGTAACAAACTCAATCGCAGTCGCTGGAAATTCCAATGCTCCATCGCCGAGGAATCCACAATTTCTCCTTCCAAAGTCTCTTCGGACTACAGTGGAAATGGTCAATCGATGTTGGACTGCGTTGTCGTCGGCGCCGGTATCAGCGGCCTATGCATTGCCCAGGCTCTCGAGACCAAGCACGCTGGTGTCGCGCCAAATCTGATTGTAACGGAGGCCCAAGATCGAGTTGGCGGCAATATAACAACTGTGGCTAGGGACGGCTATCTCTGGGAAGAAGGTCCCAACAGCTTCCAGCCTTCCGATCCTATGCTGACTATGGTGGTACGTTTTTCCCCCTTTCCCAGCCCCAGGGTTTCTTCTCTCTCTCTCTCTCTTTTCTTGGAAATTAAAGGCTTCCTCATTCTCGCCTGTTCTGTTTTGTGGGAATGGATCTGCGATTGCATTTTTGCATGCGTTAGTAGGATACCTGCGGAGCGGTTCCTAATTTTGTCCGTTCTTAACTTGTGGGTCTCATTGTTGACGGTGTCGTTCTTCTCTTCTCCAGTTGGTCCCTTGTTTGACTATGTATTTTATACTACTATGTTATACTTGTTACAGGTGGATAGTGGTCTGAAGGATGATTTAGTGCTGGGGGACCCCAACGCGCCTCGTTTTGTACTGTGGGAAGGCAAATTGAGGCCAGTACCATCTAAGCTCACTGATTTGCCCTTCTTTGACCTGTTAAGTTTTCCTGGAAAACTCAGGGCCGGCTTTGGTGCCATTGGTTTTCGTCCTCCTCCACCAGTGTGTTCTCCTAACCCTTCTTTAGATTACATGCAATTATATTCTTATGGATTTCGGTTTATTGGCATGTTTAACGAGTGTGTATTGGTCAATAATATATCGAATACCACACATTTTGGCGAAGGTTACATGAATCCATGTGGGTGTGTATTGTTGAATATTTTATCTCATGTCATACATTTTGATGAAGTTGACAGGGTCATGAGGAGTCGGTTGAAGAGTTTATACGTCGTAATCTAGGCGATGAAGTTTTTGATCGGTTGATAGAGCCATTTTGTTCTGGTAATCTCTAATCCTATATTGTGAACATGTTCATTGTCATGATAAAAGTCTACTTATTACTTACCTGCGGACATATAAGGTACATCACGCCCCACTTATTTTCATTGAACCTATTGCTGTCTATTTTGCTGGTTTTGAAAGCTGTTGCTGCCTCATGAATTGATCCTTCTTATTATGTGTACAAACTAGAAAGGCTTGGGCCTAAAAGCACCATGTAACATAAGAAAAAAGTTACACTAGCCCAAGTCACATCAAAGCAAACATTGTGTAGCAAAAAAATCGCTATAGTCCAGTTTGTGTCAAAACAAAAGAGGGGATAATTATATGGGACTACTAACATGTTGATGTAGAACAAAAATTTGCATATATTTTTATTTTATCTTGATCTTGGTTCAATGTTGTACTAAGCACAAGATTAAATGAACCTAAGATATTCAAACTTAGCCCAATTTCTAGTAGTAGAAGTTTCTAGTGAGGTATTAGTGTAAGTAGTTAGGAGATGTAATTGGGAAATGATAGAGGTATTAATGTGAGCAGTCAAAAGATGTACTCAAGAGATTGTAGAGTTATTAATTAGTAGTTGAAAGATGTATTAAATTAAGTAGTTGGATAATGGTAAAACTTTCCTTGAGCCCTATAAAAAGGGTCTTTTGTAATCATTTGAAAAATTAATTAATCGAATTAAAGTAAATACTTTCAGAATTCTTCTCTTATTTATTTATTTTTTTTGTGGATTCAGAATCTGTGTTCTTTGCACAAGAAAACAATGATTTTATTGTGTTTTTTTTTATCATTGTGTCACAAACATCCATTTGCTCGCGTATTTGTGAAAATTTTGAAGAGAAAGATTAGAACATGGAATTTACTAAATGGAAGCTGTTTAGGGTTGGTGGCATAGACATCAACTGAGGGATTATATCAATGGGAATTTGTTGATCTAGAATCTTCATTTTCAAATGAACCATTATTTGGCAGAAGAATTTGGAGAAGCCATTGAAGGGCCTCAATGCTTGATGCGTAGGGACGAAGCTATAGAACAATAGGTTTCGAAGTCACTGTGACTGATATGGTACCACTAAATGATGTAGATCGTAATAACTTTAATACCAATTGATATAGATTGTATTAGCTTGATTCTTAATTTAAATTAAGAAGAAGATAATAGGGATGAAAATAGAAGAATAAAAGGAGATGAGAAGTGAAGAATAGAATTAAGGGGATGAGAAATAGAAGAGAAAGAGGAAGGGAACAAGGAGATCTAGGCAAATAGGCCTTAATAATATTTAATAAGTCAAGTCTAAATAAAACCCTTACATGCATCCCTTTATAAAGGGAAACCAAATCTCTAAAACAAATAAATAATAACAAATAAACTCTTAAAAGTTAAAAGAAATTACTTAAAAGATAAATACTAAGAGTATCCAAATAACTCTCAAAATTAATCTATAATATTTATTCAATTTCTACACGATCCCTATTACTAAATCATCTCAATCTCAAACTCAAATACCGTTTACATCTCTCGCCCTCAACATCATTACTCAATTTCTTCTTCCTTTTCCCTTTTTTCCCACCCTTAACCTTATAATTATCTAACCCAAACTCCTTGGTTTAGATATCAACCCAAATTCACCGCAACTCTAACCACTTCAACTTCCTCCACCACGAAAATTGATTCATCCAAACCCATTTTCTTCTCCTCAATCCATTCCTTCCTTTTCAAAACCCCACGTTTCCTTTTATTTCACTCTGAAAACCTTATTTTCGCCAATCCTCCCAAATTTTGCCATTGAAAATTGTAACAATTATCCGTACATAAATTGAGTCAACGATTCTAGGGGTTCTGATTTGGCTCGATAACCCATTTTTCATAGACCTCAACACTGTTATTGCTCAAGAGACTGCATTTGTGTATTGCAATATAAACAAGTAAAACAACTAACGAACATATTGAGGACTATGATTCAATGTATGCAGGGTCAACCCAATGCGCTCGCCTCCCCCCACCCCCCAAAAAAAAAAAAAAACTCACCTCGGGTCCCACTCACCCAAGTATCGTTGAAACTTGAATATTTAAAAATTAGGGTTTAGGAAAAGATAGAGAAGGAGGAGAGAGGAATGATGAAATTATTAAATAATATTGTGTGTAGGGTGTGTATATGCGTACACCCTTTCACCTATTATTCTATTAATATTAGATTGATATCAAAGACAATTGCAATGCTGGGATTCTAAACATAATAAAATCGCGACATCATACTAGAAAAATAACACTCTACAACTATATACCATGGATACCACATAGTTTGTAATTGTGGCCCTGCCATTGCTGAAATTAGTTAATCTTTATGGGTGGGTTTGGGATGTGCCTAATAAGGCATAATATCAATATTGCTTCTCTATTGTAGTTATGGGATGAGAGGTGAAAGTGTAGTATCTATCCCAGCTTTTCTTTTGTGACCTGTATGATCTATTGATAATATTGGGAACTTTAGATATTTTTTAACATTGATATCTCTTGATGAAGCTAGGGTTCAATCAATCTCATTACAACATGAAAATTTATTTTCTGCAGGTGTTTATGCTGGCGATCCCTCAAAATTGAGTATGAAAGCAGCATTTGGAAAAGTTTGGAAGCTGGAGCAAAATGGTGGCAGTGTCATTGGAGGAACCTCTAAAGTAATTTGGGAGAAGATCAGGAATCCAAAGACAGCTCCAAATCCGTAATAATGATAAAATATTGTTTGATTCCAATCTTATGATTCTTTCCATTGTGTTATGCATATACATTCAATGCCCTAAATTTTGTCATCTTCCAGGCGTTTACCCACACCAAAGGGCCAAACAGTTGGATCTTTTAGGAAGGGACTGACAATGTTGCCAGAAGCAATATCTAAGAGGTATCATTTATCCATGTATTTGATCCTTGGGGAAAGCAAATCTTCAAGTGGAATGATTAACTTAAGTTCCTGGGAAAAGTTGGACTGTTATATTAGCCTTTCTTTTGAACTTTTCCTGTGTGTCCTTCTTTGACAGTGTACTGATCCTGATGAGTTGTGGTTATCTTTTAGCTTAGGTAGCAAAGTAAATTTGTCTTGGAAGCTCTCAAGGATCACTAAATTGGAGAATGGAGGATATAGTTTGACATATGATACTCCAGAAGGATTGGTTTCCTTGCAGAGTAAAAGTGTTGTCATGACTGTTCCATCCCACGTGGCCAGCAGTTTATTACGTCCTCTTTCGGTATGTTACTCTCTTGCAACTTATTGAGGTCCTGTTACCAATTAGATAAGAATCAATTGCATCATTATTGAGGAGTGAATTTGTGTAATGTGGAGGCAGTTTCACATGCACTAACTGGAAATTTTAAATGATTATGTTTTTGACCCAACCAGAACTTCTTGGTGAAATCAGTGTATTCCTTAGTAGAGAGTTTGTGCAAGCTGGATATACTTTCATATCCGGCAAGTGGAAATGTTAAATGATTGTGTTGCTTATGCCTATCGGTTGAGATTTTCTGCACTTATTTATGGCATCAATGGTGTAATAAGTAATAACAACATGCCATTGCTATAATAGTCATTTGAAACGTGTGACATGCATCTCATGATTGCTTGTCCGTTGCGTGATTTGGATCTAGTTTGTGAGAAAAGTCAGAGTGCAATGGCTCCCCTAGTTTCAAGTCTGAAATTTTTTTAGTTAATATCTCAGGACTTTCAGAAAACATCTAAGGAAATAACCTCAACATAATGGCCCACCATCACAGGTGTCACAGGGGTCAAAATTTCACTCGAATTTTGCCTCGTGATGATGAGATCTGACACTCAGTCTCAGCCAACTTACACAAACGCTTAAAGAAGCACATTGTCGAACAGAATATGAGCAAGAATCAAACTCACAGCAGACATATAAGATTACAGGCCAATTTACCGAACTTTTTTACTTCTCGACAAGTTTAAAGGAATCTAGTTAGGGGTCTACTTATAAAACGTGTCCAAACTCTCTTGGTTCACTGTAGATCTCAGCATGCATATAAATAGCACACAATGGCGGTTACAAAATTCAACTGCCTAGGCAATGATGACACGACCCAGCTCTTGTCAACTCAGTCATGCAGTTGACACATCTCCAACTGCTAGGATTGCAAGCACCAATGAAATTCGCCCGTAAGGCTTGTGGGTGGTTCTGGCACTTCCCCATAATCTGTTAAACATGGCTGAGTCCCTCTACCATTCTCCACAATGTGCTGATCATGGCAAAGGGGTAGTTGTAGTCGTCGGCTAACTCAGTCATTAACTGCGCATAACCACTTTGCATGTTGTGCACATGCCGACAATTGCATGGAACTGCCCAACGTGCTGTGCACATGCCAGCAACAATCATCATCTGCAGTGCACATGCCTCAACTGCTCGGAACCGCCTCACTTGATGTGCACATGCCTGTGTGCCAAGCCATGCCTAGCCGATGGCTTGGTCTTCCAACCTAGCAATGCACGACAATCCGAGTCTATTGGCTAGCCTTGCTCAGCTATGCATGAGGCTTCAACCAATGACGGGGTGTGCCCAACTTGCCCATGCATGTACTTTCTCCATTAGCCATATATGGGACTTCCACCAATGACGGGTCCCACAGATCATCGGCTCCACATCTTGTGTCTTGGATTTTGGAATGTATTGTCCACACCCATGTCATGCATTTGTTGGGACCATGTCTTGCTTTGGTGTGCCAAGGCTTAAGGGCATAGAGGTCCCTGGGGACGTCAGCCTGGCACCCCCCTTCACGGAGCACCCACCTTATAATAGTCTTAGTGAGCAAAACCCTAGCAATAATAACAGACATATTCTGAACCGAGGAGTCATAACGACGAGAGCCCGTGGTATAGTTGTTGCATGTCATTTGAACTTTTGTCGAACTACTTTGATACTAAACCAATCACACGTCGTAGTCCTTAGGAAACCAACTTTGTACTAAGGGGTTGCTTGGCCAAGTACAACCCAATTTGGCTAAGGCATGGGGCATCTTTGGGCGAGGCACCCGCATGCCATAGCCATGCCAACTGGCTAAGGGGGTAACAATAGGGAATATCCAAACCTTGAAGTCCAAAGTAATGCACATGTTCGAAAAAGGTGGCATCATTTTTGTGGAAGGATCATTAACACATGGAGCACTTTTTAGATGAGGGTTGGTCCCTGGACAAAACCAAATCCTGAAGTATATGTCTGCTGTGTTGCATCGCATTAACTTTATCTTCCATTTGTTTGCAGGCAGCAGCAGCAAATGCACTATCAAAGTTCTATTACCCACCGGTTGCAGCAGTTTCCATTTCATATCCAAAAGAGGCAATTCATGCCGAATATTTGAGTGATGGTGAACTAAAGGGGTTTGGACAGCTGCATCCTCGCAGTCAAGGGGTGGAAACTTTAGGTATATCTGCTTTTGTCAATAACAATGAATAATGATCAACCATACTCTTATTTTTCGTGAACCATACCTGCTGTGAAGTATGTCATGCGCACATATGAACCAATTGTTTTGTAGGTGATGTACTCGAAATTTACTCTAACTTTGCTTGCCGGTTATATTGGATCCTGCAGGAACTATATACAGCTCATCACTTTTTCCTAATCGAGCGCCACCTGGAAGGATTTTGCTCCTGAATTACATTGGCGGGGCCACTAATCCTGGAATCTTGTCAAAGGTAATATAACTTCTAAAATACAAATAGAAATTTGATACACAACTTTAGGAGCAGTTCAGTGACAGGATTGTCGATTGTATTTGATGAACAAGTTGATTTTTCTTGTAAATTATATGGTAGAACTGTTTGCTAATGGTATTGCCCTTGCATTTGTTTATTCATCATGAATATTGAATATTCATATTGCTTAGCTGGTTGGGTAAAAGGCCTCTCTCTCTCTCTCCCAGAAAAAAAAAACAAGAAAAAGTTGTTTCTTTGATCACAATAGAGTCCTCCACATGGATCCTACATGTTGAATATCGTTTAGGGTTTGGTTCTTCTGGTCGTGGCTGCTTGTATTTTTGGTCCCATTCTCTTTTTGGGACTTATTTATGGCTTACAAAATCTGCAAGCACCGATGGGGAATTAATATATCACGATGTAATGGGGGTACAGTTCATTATGCCCACATGATAAAATTAACTGTCTCATCATCATGATCTTTTTTGGTGGTAATGTTATTACTGCTTAATTTTGGTGGAAATATTTGATGTTCGTTGGTCTTTTTTTCTTATGTATTTTTCTCATGATATTTCATTTTTATCAGACGGAGAGCCAACTTGTGGAAGCAGTTGACCGTGATCTAAGAAAGATGCTGATAAGGTACAGTGCACCAGATCCACTTGTTTTAGGGGTGCGAATGTGGCCACAAGCGATTCCCCAGTTTTTAGTTGGTCATCTTGATATCCTAGATGCTGCTAAAGCTGCTTTAAATAATGGTGGATTCCAAGGGCTGTTTCTTGGGGGCAACTATGTATCTGGTGTAGCCTTGGGTCGATGTGTGGAGGGTGCTTATGAAGTTGCAACTGAGGTAACTAATTTTTTGTCCCAGTGTGTGTACAAATAAAATGGCATTCTGCTTGGAGATTTAACAAATTTTCCTTCAACTGGAAAATGGACAATGGGGATTTTTTCTTTTTCCGGTGGTACCCTAAATTTCTGAGTAGCTTTAATTTGTGATGGAGACTTTTGGGTTGGCAACAGCACAGCAGTGGTAGCCTGATATGGGTTGATAGCTATTGCAGTTGATAAAATGGCCACTTGTCATTTACTTACTTCAGAAGGGGCTCCAGTCTCTAATATTTGAACATGCATTTGCGACATTTCAAGTTGAGGTTTTGTATGCAACGATTAAGGGTTATGAGAATGTATTGACAGCGAATATGGCCTTCATGTTGACTTTTTTATTTTTGGGTTGGAGGGAGAGAAAAGAAGAGAAGGGGGGGGGGGGGGGGCAACGATAAAGGGCTATGAGCCTCAATTATTTTACAAACCATTTACAATGGAAAATCTTACATCAAATTACCAAAGCTGGGGGACAATTGGTAACTAAGGTTATAATGGGCTGGGCGTGAAATGAGGCGTGGTTACAATCCATGATCAATGGTTCTATGATTCTATCAAACACGTGATTTTTGCTTGGGAAAATTACATGGGTAGAGTGGGCTAATAAAACGAAAGTAAATACAATGAACCTCAATTACCTGGGGGCTGGAACTAATTTATGTGACCTAAAAACACAGCGATGGTGTTTGTTACTGGTACCCCGGTACGGCGGTACGTATAGATTGATGGACCAAGTTAGATACGCTTAAACCTTAGTCAACGAGAAAAAGAAAGCAGAGTTTATTTTTAGTCACGAAAAATGAGGTCATGGCCGAAGGAAGAAGCGACAATATTCTATTATTTCTATGTATGAATTATGATCTCCCCCTCTCTATAGGTACAAGCTTGCTTTAGTTGTTCCCGGCCCCTTTTTCAGATGGGAGGGAACAGGAAGGAGGAGATCAGTGAGTGAGATGTTTAAAGTAACCCCATGGCATTACTAACTAGTTATAACTTTACCAACTATAATGTTATTTTGACATAATTTGTTAATTTTTTTTTTTAATTAAAAGAGGACAGTATCTCCAAAAGTTATTGATTTATCCTCACTTGTAACAGATGAATACTGTGATTACATAGTCCAAACAATAAAATCTGTCGTAATAACAAGCAGAACCTAATCAATAAGCAAACTCAAACTTTAGGGTTAATCTCATTTTGCACTCCGAAAGATCGTTAGAATCTTAATTTGTACCCCCAAAGATCAAAAATCTCAATTTACACCCTTAAAGATAGAAATCTGTATTAATGTGCACTTAAAATTAAATTGATAAATTATACATAGATCCCCTCATGTTTGTCACTTAATCATTTGAACCCTTTCACATTTAGAATATTACCCATACATCTCATGACGTTTGTACATGTGTAACACAACCACTTTTCGTTGAAATCTGTTAATATAATTGTTAAAAAATATAATTTTATCCTAATAAAAAATTATAATTTCATATTACCTTTTATTTTGTGAATTCGATATACTCTAAAGTTCAAGATTCTTACATCCCCCTGTCAAGTTGACACTGACTGAGTCATTGATTAATTACTTCTATGAACAACGCCATTCTCAAAGTGGAATCACATGCATTTTTCCACGCGGGATGGACTTTCCAAATAAAATAAAAGAATAATGACAATGCTTTAGGCCTATGGATAGAATTATCAAAAAAAAAAAAAATAGAAAAGAACTAAGTTATTCAGCATGGTAATTTTTTTAGTCTCACTTTTATTAATTTAGTACTCAAATTTTATTTACCATGTGTGCGTTTTTTGTCATTAAAAAAAAAAGTATAGAACCAAGAGGTGTATAGATTATAGAAGCAAGGAGTAACGTTAGGTTGTGAGTTTTGGAGAGGAAAAAAAGAAAGAAAAGAAATGACAATCCTATATATATGTGTGTTTGTTTGGGGGTTTTGGAAAAGAAATTTAACGTAATGGTAGTTATAATCTCTCCTCTTGTTTGGTAGGTCATACGAAAGTTAAAAATAATTAATTTTGTGAGGGAAAAGACAAAACAATGAGTTATTACAAACTAAAAACAAAAGGTTATGTGGGCAATGATTTTAAAAACGGATCTCTTTCTTGTTGAATTCGTGTTTACCTTGAAAGTCGACGATCCAGTGACAAAGAGGCGAAAAATGACCTAAGGAGTGATGATAAATTATTTTTGGGGCAATTCAATCGATCCCGACATGTTGTTAAGGCTTCCTGGCACTCAAAATAGAGGTTAGAAGGACGTCGGAGTGTTTTTCGTCGTATCTCTTTCGACGGCCTAGTCAATTTGTGAGAGGGAATAGGAAAAGCAATGTATGTTGTGAGAATATTTTGCAACCTATTCTGAGTTTTAGAAAGTTATTTATACCTTGTACGAAGGTTATCATTACTGACTAGTAGGTTGTAGACAGTGTTCAGTCATTAGACAGTGCACCCTCCATTTTACAGGGACTGAGTTCAAATATTAAATACTCGGCTTCCCGAGCACTTAATACCCTTTCTCCCTAGCCCTTGAGCATTTAATGCTATTTATTCAATGCATAGTCATTAAATGCTTGGACTATGGGGCATTTAATGTTCCTTCTCCTGGGCTTCTCAAGCAACCCTGGACGTGACATCCCTATAGAGATTTATTAAATGCTTATCTAGGACGACTATATGTCATCAGGGGTATTTTTGTCAATTTACCTTTAATCATGTACATCATGTCACACATGTCCAACTAACCTTGGTTGCTGGTCTCGTTCACTCTACCACTCTGACCTCATGGGAAAGACAAATCAATGACACATTGTCAGACTTTGAAATTGATGGATTGTAACAGTCATTAATGTATCTTGAGGCCGAGGTGACGTGTCAAAGAGAATCCTTGAGACCGAGCCATGCAGGGGGACGCATGAACAAAAATTTGGAGATATCCTTGATGTCGAGGACACATGTCATCTCCAGAGAACATGAGGTGTCATCGGTGCCGAGGACACGTGTCACCACTGTAGACCGAAGGCATCCTCGGTACCGAAGACACGTGTCATAACTAGGAGAATGAAAGTGCCCTCGGTGCCCAGGACATGTGTCACCATTAGGAGGCTGAAAGTGCCTTCAACGCCGAAAACACGTGTCATTATCAGGCTTTTGAGAGTTCTCGATACCGAAGATGTGTGTCAGATCCTAGCCCCTTCTCGGGAATGTCCCATCAGGTTATATAACCACAAATTCACCTTTCCATTCTCTCTGTTTCTTTCTACGTCAGGACGTTTGAGGAAATCATTCAAATATTTTCGTTTTATTTCTTTCCTTTTTCATCTCAAAACTCACAAACAACGGACGTACCCTTTTCCTCCAAAACTTTTTTCTTTGACTTCTCTCCATCCAAACATGGCATAACTGCTGCTTCTGGCAAATGGCCAGACATTGAGGATTCTGCTGGTGTATGCTTCTTGTTTCTGGGCTAGTGCATGAATATTCTATGGAATTATTTTTTCGGTAATAACCTAAATAATTATACAATTTTTTTTTTGTTTTTTTTTTTGTCATTTTAATGAAAAGCGATAGCTATGAGTTCAAACCTTAGGCTCCTGGACAAACCCAAATACTACTAGCTACTAGGGCATATCTTGTTGTTGGATCACATAAAAGAGGACTGAACAAGCTAGTGCACTCCGAAATTATACACACACAATAGAAAATGGAGGATTGGATGTGCTACTCTAGCTAGATTGAACTAGAGATTGATAATTCCATCTCCGCTTAGTTCTACAAAAAAACTCAATAATCAGAGTAAGGGTTATATACTCGGGTATACATAGTCTGGAGTGATTTGGTCTAAGCAAATACAATCTATAATATAAAATATGATAGACTTTAATAATCTGTTCGACAGTCTCAAATAAACTCATCTAACGATCCTTAAAATCTTTCTCAAAATCATTCACATTGCACATTTCCTTCTGGCCCGAGTTATCTCGAGTACAAGACCAAGTGCCGTCCAATTCACTCATTTAATTTACTGTACAAAAAAAGATATTTACCAACATTTATTTAACGCCACTATAATATAAATAAACACCGCAAAATATTATTATTAACGTTTGTTACAAACGTCGTCGAAACCTCCGTCGAAAAAATTACCGGTATATGGTTAAACGCCACCAAAATTAAAGTGACATTTATTAAACGTTGAAACAACGCTTATTTAATCGACAACTTCCTTATAAAACTCCGGTGACCGGAGCTATTTTATGACATTTATTTAAACGCCGATAATGATAATTAATATATATAGTTTTTTAATAAAACCTAGCTTACAAGTAATAATAAATTGCCGAGTACAGAGAGTTGAGCTTATGAGCTAAAATGAAGAGCAGCCACGAGCAATTTAATTTTGAGGTCAATTCAATCTTGGAGAAAACAAAATTAATGCTTTTCGATGTATTTCATCAGCTGCTATATGCAATGTGGTGCAACTGCACATTTGGTTGAGCATGGAAGTTTCAGCCCCTGCTACCGATCTTTGTGATCGCCAAAAGCTTCCTCCATATACTATATTGTGCATCATTGTTGTTATTATCGTACGATACAGAGGTTGTCCGATACGAATCGGGGTTTTATATCATTTTTGTGTTACATCGTCCGATACACGATATGTTTTTACAATACGATACGCATCACTTGATACAAACAATTCCCAAAGTCACTGTTTAATTTATTATTATTATTTTTTTGAACAGAACGCACAATTAAGCTTCAAGAATAGAGAAAATGTCAAAGAAAATGCAACAGAGATGAAGATAAATCCACAAATCAGCAAACCCACAAATCAGTAAACCCACAAACCAGTCCACCAAATCCACAACAAAAACATCCAAGCAAAAACAAATCAAACAAATTTTTGAAATTAGAAAAAATAGCAACACTAACCTTTAAATCTCGGATGAAACCCTAGGTCTCACGATCTCTCTCTCTTTGTCTCACGATCTCTCTCTTCATCACTGTGAGCTGCGACCCCAAGATACCAGCCACCAGGTATGTTCTTTTTCTTCTTCTTCTTCTCCTTCTCTCCGACATCGGCACCGGAATCGTCTCTCACCTCTCGCCTCTTCTATCTTTCTCGGTCTCTGTTCGATCGTGGGTCACGAGACTCACGACTGTGTTTTTTTTGGGTTATTAGAATGAAAAATTACATTTACTACCTCACTATATTATAATTTTTTACTTAGTACTATTAATTTAATTTAATACCCTTCATTATATTTTTAATATAGTAAATTATATTGTTGACTAGAATAATATGTGGAATATTAATGAAATGTTATGTTTTTATGAGTCTATAATTTTTTTTAAAAATATATATATTTTATTATTAATTATTTAAAATTATGCCGTATCTTACAATACACGATACACGATACGATTCGATACACTATTTTAAAAAAACGATACACCTTCTAATACACGATTTGATAACTATGTTGTGCATAGATAACACCAATTTTCTACTAGTAAAAAACGTGATGCTTAATGCTTGTGGTCTGCCTGCAGCTGTATGAATACCACAACCACTATGAATCAAACTATTATCATATGATCCATCCTTCCTTACCCCTTCCCTCCCCCAAAACAACCAAAAAAAAAAAAACACTAATATTGATTCAGGAGCAATCCTGGGATTGTCAAGATTATTATGATTTTCTTGTCGGGTAAAAAAACAAGATTTATCAATTAGAAGCAGCAGAAAACGTGACAAATGGAATTGAGGTACAGCCACTCAAAAAGAGAGAAGGAAAACTGTGCCATAACCAATAATGCAGCAGGATGCATTGCTGAGATCTTGAACAAACCTTAAAGCCCTAATACCCATGTCCATAAGGTATGCTCGATGCTCATCATCATCTGGAAACTTCTCTAGTTCCTTACAATAGTAAAGGATATCATCTCGCAAATGCCTTTAAAATAGGGGCAAATTCAGCACTACCAGAAAGGAGAAGTGGAAACCGAAATAATAGGTAGGTCCATTCATTTGATAAAGAATCAGTAGCAAACTAGGTAAATTTATTCACCATTGTCCGAGTTGACAGTCGTGTCAAGAGTTATGTCTAATTTATTGTAGACATACCATAGGTGCAACGCCCAAAATCAGAAAATTCAGTGGTTACTAATGCTCCGTTGGTAGGATGGATGAAAAGTAAGAATGATGAAAAGTAGGTAAGATACACTTTTTATCTTTCAAGGATGGAAAGTAGGAAGGATACACTTTCCTTCCTTTGTGTTTGGTTGGATGGATAGAAAATAAAAATAACTATTTTTTTTTGTGCTGACTAAGATTAAGGGTGACAATCGAGTCGAGTCGTATCGTGTCAGATTCATGTTAAGTCATTATGAGTTTGTGTCGAATATTAGTCAAACCTAACTTAACTCATTTAACTAATAGTGTCGTGTCGAGTTGCAAATTAACCTGTTTATTTTCGTATCGAGTTTGAGTCGTGTCATCGTATTGAGTTTAAAATTTTCACCCTTTGAATGAAAAAAATATTTTTTTTTAATTTAAAATTTAAAATTTAAAATTTTTTTAAAATTTTTAAAATATATATACATATTTTACTATTATATTTTTATATGAAATTAATGTATACATAAGATATATAGACAAATAAAATATATCTCAACACAAATAATTAACTTTTCATCTATTTTACTCCCGATTTTGAAAGGATTGATTTTGGTGAGTTGGAAGGAAAATTAATCTACCAACTTTTTCATCCATCCCTACTTTCCTTCCTTATCAAACTATTAAAAAGTACAAAACTCTTAATGCTAATTTCTTAAGTCCTTATTTTTAAAATTTAATTGTGTCAAAGTATATAATTTAATTTTTTGTGATTTTTCTTTGACATTCCTTAAATCATGCACATTTCTTTTGAAAGTTAATTTGATTTTTCTCACATTTAATTATCACCATAGTACCCGGAGTGTTTATCTCCCACACCTTTCATCTTCAGAAGTGATGGTGCAAAAACTGTCCATCTCTCCCTCACTGAATATATGTGTTAATATTCAAAAGACTACAACATTAATATTCAAAAAACTAATTAACCCAATTTATACAAGAAGACTGCAACATTAATGCATTTAAGTGGCAAAGTTAGATTAAATTCCATGCTCTTATTCAAAATTTGAAAAAAAAAAATTGTTCCTACCGTAAATTAAACACAAAAAATCTAATAAAAAAGTAATCTAAGGGCGGCAGGTCTTTCCAATTCTTCGATCAAATTATCAATTTATACTCCTTTTTTTTTAGGGGGGTCATTATATAAATATCAGTTTGTCTTGTTTATCTTTCTCTCTTAACTCTCTAGTCAACCTAATTAAGAATGTTTATTAAGTTTAAAATTAGGATTGTATATGAGAAGTCATTGCCATCATTCTTTTATTTTTAAACCCAACATGAGGGAGTCATTTAATGTACCCTGATCATGGCTACGCATGCGCAATGGCAGTTTCGTCTATTACCCCTCAAAGGGGTCAACATTTCAAAACTTTATACTTTGTACACCTTTATCATTGGTTATTGAAATGTCCTTCCTACCATTCTAACTGCCTTGGAAAGGGAGAACCGATGATTGACAACCAACTCTACTTCCAAGTCACGATAGTTATCAAAACTACTATTCACACTTCATTGATGTGAAGAACCTAACGCTGAGGCAGTGTGTCAGGTGAAGAGTCCCTCGGGGTGACCCTAGTGTCGAGGATACATATCAAACAGGGGATGCTCCGAGGGACCTTGGTGCCAAGGACACGTGTCAAATAGGGGATGCTTCAAGGAACCTTGGTGTCGAGGACTCGTGTCGAACATTCAACGCCTCGAGGACCATGTATGTTGAGGACAAGTGTCAATTACAAAAAACCGCAAGGGTATCTACACCGAGGACACGTGTCACCTCCCCCATCAATCTCCAAATATGTCCCATCAATTACCCCCAGCTCTTGATCTTCATACGAACCAAGCGACGTGGTGGAGAAAGATGAAAGGACTTGACTTCTGCTTCCTTGTGCAACCGTTTTCCCTTCCTTGGGGTTCGCACTTCATTTAATGCGCCCCCTCGTTCTCTATGAGTAATGATGGGTTTTAGCCCTATTTAAACATAGGACTCTCCTTCCTCTTCCACTTTTGCAATTTTTTTGCACTCAGAATCCCTTGATTTCAATTAGCCCTTTGTCGGAGTTCCCGTTCACCAGCAAAGGAGCCACCTCCAACCCCACATTCACCGACCCCTGGCAAACCTCTGTCTATTTGGTGAATAACTGCCCCTATCCTCTTTTTTAGTGGTGATTGTTTTTCTTCTATCTCTCCTTCCTTTCTCTAGTAGTTGCAACCTTCTGTCTCTCCGTCCCCATCAACCCATCCTTAGGAACCCATCTTCGAGTCTTTCTTTCTGCATATTTCATGACAAGACATCGTCAGGATAGGAACGTCGGGGCCAATGCGGCTGGTCCTTCAAGGTCGAGGAAGTATACAATTAAGAGCCGCCAACATATTACCAATATTAGGACCCATTATTCGATTCCCCTCGAGGTCATCGTTAATAAGTTCATTACTGGACTCGAAAGTACCACTGTTGGCATCGAGGCAACCATACCCTTCTATACCAAAGTCATCATGGAGGGTGGTATCAGATTTTCCCTCCAACCCCTTCTTCTCTATTTCCTGTCCCAATTTTGACTCTTCTAGGGATAATGTTGCTTGAACACCTTCAGGATCATTATAGGGGTGCTCACCTTGAATGAGCATTTGCAACTGAACCTCAATTTGGAGGAGATTCTTTTCTGTTATTCTTTGGTGAGGGTGATGCCTCAACAAAAATTCTACCTTAAGGCTTGAGGCCCCACCATGTACGTCGTGACATACCTTCTAGACTCTGACAAAGAGTACAAGGATAACCTGTTTGTCTTCGGCAGTTAATAGGAGAAAGGAGTCAGCCCCGAGTACGTCGACTTGTGGTGCCCCAAGCAATGGCAGACTACAAGTATGTTAGCTTCTCTATCTTTTTTCAGCTTATAATACCTCGGCATTTCTTGAACTTGTCTTTAACATTTATCCTTTTTGCTTCCTACAAGAGTCTCCGACGTCGAGTCTATTGCGCCTCCTTATAATCAAATCAACCTCAGCGACATCTATATTGTCTGGGGCTATTTGGGGAACAGTCTTGGCTGATCCTCTCACATACTACTCAACTACACCCCAGGGTTCATAAACTTCTCTCAGACCCCTCAACTGTTTGATCTAGCAAGGTGGTCGACATTATTGACGTCGAGGTAGAGGATGCCGAAGACACAGTCGCCGACGTCGAGGAAATAAGGGATCCATCCATCACCATCCACGTCGAGGAAAGTAATTCCGATAGAGACGTTTGGCCAGACTTCAACATTCTTCAAAACCTTGAAGAAGAAGACACTTTGGAGATTGTCATGTCCAACCCACCTCACATTTCCCTCAACCTGATAAAGAAGAGAGAAACACTTGCTGCCAGACGGGGGCGCGACTCAGGCTTTGAGGTCACCCCCAATCAGGGACGCACTCGTCCTTCTGAAGTCATAATCCAAAGGTCTACACCCTTTCCAGCTCCTTCACCAGTCGACGCCGATACCTTAAGGACGAGATTGAGTCCACGGTAGTAATCCTCAAATCGAGGAGAGAAGAATAAAGCAAAGGCATGATGGTGCTAGCCGCGGCTGAGGCACTCCTATGCTGACACTGATGCCCACACCGGCATTAACCCCAACTGGTCCAAAGTGACATAGTAAGGCCCAAGATCACGATAACCAGCCGATCTGAGTGATCGACTCCCTTGTTGCCTCTCCTCACACTGCCTACATCGTGAGTGAAGCAATCCATTTTGACACCAACATGGCGATCCACCGGGGGTGTGGGAGTAATCAGTTGTTTCGCTCCCTGATCTAGAGCTCTTTGGTGGTAAGGCCTCCATTCTTGAATTTTTTTTCTTTTCTTTTTGCTTTAGCATCTTCCTTGACGATTAAATTTTTCACCATTTATCTTCCAGGCTGCTCAGTAGGTTCTGTCATTACGAAGCGTTTCCATGCCCATCAGAGCAAGTTCCAAGAGTACGAGAAGTTCCAAGCCGACCTTGAGAAATCCCGAGAAGTTCTTGCTACAGCCAAGGAGAAGGTAGTCGTTTGAGACAAGACGTTGTTCACTCAAGGGGCCCAGATTGCCGAGCTCTTCAAAGAGAGCCAAAGCGCCAAGATAGAGGTTGACAAGATCAAGGCTTTGCTCACCGACGTCGAGAAGAAGATGGTCGAGGCAGTGAAGCAAGTGTTTGTAGCCGAGGCAAGGGTGGCCGAGTCAGAGTAGACTTGTGCCTCCCTCACTCAAGAGTCGAACAAGTTAAGGTCTGAGATGGAGGACAATAAATAGAGAAAGCAAGAGATCGTCAATCGGTGGGCTGATGACATCGTGATGTCGTTCAAGGAGACAAAGAGAAAGTTCTTCAAGAAGGGATGGGATAAGGTGCTTTGGGCTGCCGGGGTCCCTACTAAGTCCCCACTTTTCCAAGAACATGAGTACATTACCTCCGAGGAGATAGAACAAGCCGCACCTGAGGTTGAGGCAAAAGATGTTATGGCCCTTCAAATCCCAAACCAAGCTCCGCTAGCCAAGAATGTTACTACAACTCCTGTCCCTCGGGGTGACACTGCTCCCTTGCTGAGACTGTTACTACTCCTTCTAACGCAGCGCCTACTCCGCCTGACGCCAATCTTGCTCCTTCCGACGCTATGCCTGCCCCCTAGGGTGAAGTCTCCACTGTTCAAGCTAATGCTACACCTACTTCTCACAGTGCCGACTCTTTCTCAGCCAGCATCGACGAGCTCTTCGGCAACATCAGAGGTGGCATCGGCGGCGACGTCACTGGCCTTCCATAGAGCAGCTTCTGTACATCCTTTCTTTGTAACTTAGTTTTTAATCCTTGTAGCTTGAGGGACACAAAGCCCTCCTTTTTTGCAATATAAGAATGTTTTCCTCTTAATAAGTGTTTGTCCCTTTTGTTTCTTTATGTCTTCGTCTTCGAGGCCAAGCCTCTTCTTGGAGACTTCAGGTCCTTGAGGACATCGGGTCCTTCAGGGGAAAATTCCCTCAAGGACTTCACACCTAGACCATGCCTAGGCTATATTCCTTTCATCTTTTTGAGACAAATATTTTTTCTAAGGCTTTGTTCTCAGGGCCATGCCCCTCCAGGAGGCTTCGCTCCCTGGGTCTTTTTGGGGGCAAGTCTTCTTTCTAAGGCCTTACCCTCAGGGTCATGCCCCTCCGGGAAGCTTCGCTCCTTGGGCCTTTCTGGGGGCAAGTCTTTTTTTATAAGGCCTAGGTTTCACTCCTTTTATTTCTTTAGAGGCAACGGGGCAATGCCCCTTCCAGTAGACTTCGCTCCTTCCAGTAGGCTTCGCTAATTCTATTCCTTTGGAGACAAAAGTATTCCTTGAAGACTTTGCCTTTAGGGGCCATGCCCCTTCCAAGAGGCTCCGTTTCTTTTGTTTTTTGGAGGTAAGAATTTTCCTTGAAGACTTTCCCTCCGGGGTTATGCCCTTTCTAAGACAATACACTTAGTGAAAATAAGCCCTTATTTATAAAAAATAATACTTTTTAAAATTCATTACATTCCAAAGCCGAAGTACATCATTTCCTTTTATATCCTCTAACTTGTATGACTCGGAACCTCCCACTGATATGACTCTATATGGTCCCTCCCAATTAGGTCTCATCTTTCCATCGACCGAGTCACAAGTATTCTCGACTACCCGTCTGAGCACCAGGTTGCCTACTTGAAAATTTTGGAGATTTATTATTTTATTGTAGAGTTTGGACACCCCTTCTTAGTATTTCGCTAATCGTAAAACAACCACTTCTCTTCTTTCCTCCACGAGGTCCAAATCCAGGCTAAGTTGTTGATCGTTCTTTCTCGTGTCGAGATTCTGCGTCCTTATAGTGGGGAGACCAACTTCCAATA